CAAAATAAAATAAACATTTAATATAAAAAAATAATATATATATATATATATATATATATATATATATTCATTGACATACTGATTATAAATGGTTATATTATTGTACTATTTACCAAAACCATAGGTGTTTTCCGTATACAGAGTCAATGCTTCCTTTTCGGTTCACATGATCAATTATGAAGCACTTTCCTACCCTCAGATCAAAACACACCACGTAATACATATCCACATCCACTACTGGGATGAAAACATGTTACAAACACACATAATCTTAAGATTAAATTCTCAAAAATGTGTAATAAAAAATTAATTCCACATAAACTAACCAGACCAACATCTTTCAAACTTGGTAACACTTTAAACTTGTTAGTGTAAACTCTCAGCAATCCATCAAACAATATGCATGTTTCGACTCCTACACCCGATTTGTTCAACATTTCACTAGTCTGTAACAATAAGAAAAACACAAACTTCAATATTAAACTAAATTATTTACATTGAAATTTACAAAAAATATAATGTTCATTCCATACCAGAAATTTTGTGTCCAAGAACAATCTAACTATTGATCCTTTGTCCCTGTACTCCTCCATCTTATTAAGGAATGCTGCCCAACAATCTATTATTCTAGAATGGATATACACATCCCTCTTAAAATGGTACACGAATCATTGGTGCAAAACTTCACCAACTCCAATATCCCATATCGGGTCCCTACATATTTAAATACATTAATAAACTTAATAAAATCAAATACTATATTACAATTAATGAGTATATAATATATTTTAAACTAACCTATTATTTCTTTTAGATGCAAATATTGAAGTGCACATATTAATATCCTCCTTCTTAAACTTATCACCAACTCTAATCACCCGTTCAATAAAAGGGGAATGAAATAAATTTGTAGATTTCTTGTCCCTTTTCCCCTTTTACCATTATCATCTTCATTCACAACATTGTTCAGCTCATCCTCTAGATTTCTTCCTTCATTCGAATTAAATCCTACCACAACAGTTGGATTTTCTTCTTCTTCTACACGTTTACTACCTGAAAACATCATCTCTGTTTTACTTGCCATATCTATGATTTCATCCATCACACCTGGTAACTTATAAAACTGAGTCATTGTAAGATCATCATGTGTCACTTCATTTTCCATACGTGGTTCCACATAACTACATCCTTCATCTATATCCTTGCTCTTACGTACCACACCTCTAATAGGTGACAAATCTCCTTGATATTCAACAACTTCTTTTCCATGTTATGGAATATCCTTTTCATTATCATTCTCCTTAACATAATCGTTCTCATTAAACAGCTCATTTTTCTTAATTACCCACTCTTTCAGTACTTTACTTTCAGGAAATTTTTGCAAACCATGTTTTAATGCAACTTTCATGTTACTCTTCTCTGATAGCAATTTACCATAACTGTGCTCCAATACAGCAGCAAATGCCTGCAATATTAATAATTTAAATCTAAAAAACTAAATTTGGTAACAACAATTCATTAAGAATCAATTACCTTATAATTACACAAAATGGTGTATTATATCTAATAAAAAAAACACAATAAAAAAAAACAAAACCATAATATTGAATTCAAAACAATATTTACTCTACCTCAATGTCCCCATAAAGTTCGCATTCTTCTTCCTCTTCTTCACACCCCATTCTCTCATCATTTAGGTTACTATCTCTGAATTGCCTCCCGAACCCTCCCAACTTAATTTCCATTTCTTGTATTTGTATTAGCTTATCACCCTTAACATGTGCAATAAATGGTATCCTTTTATCCAACTTTATATTTTCATACCTCATGTTATAAACATATGACAGCTGAAATAAAATGGATACATAAAAAAGTTATAAAACACTTCAAGTTTATAATTTATATTCAAATAATCACATTTATATTTAAAATAATCAAACCCTTACCAATAACAAAGTAATAGGGCCCGAGTAGTAGCATGTTTTGTCATCCCTTCTCCACAAATCCTTTCTAGTTCGTAGGATGTCCAACATGTACTTACACCAATCAATCTTGGAAAAGTCCTTTACTAGAACCAACTTCTCAACCACTTTGATATTATTGGTACCACCAACCATTGACTCTATGAAGGTGTTAATGAACATAATAAGAAAGTTCAACCTGAATATCATGTTGTCTTCTTCTGTACTTCTAATATGTTTCACATATGCTTCACCATGAAACTTCTTGTCTACATATTGTGCTTTCCATTCTTCCAGAATCTCATTACCGGTTTCACAGTAAGGCATTCTACTCAGATCATCCCCTTCCATTGGTAAACCCATCATCTTATGCACCAGCTCTTTTGTTATTTCAATCACCCCATTCTCCATCACAAGTCTATTGCTTTCTGGATTGTACACCTCTAGAAGATAATAGTTTAGCAACCCTGGTATAACATCCATATCTAACTTCAACAATGAGCCATATCTAACTTCAACAATGAGCCATATCTAATACAACATCCATATCTAACTTCAACAATGAGCCAAATCCCATGTCATAAACTGCTTTTTTTTTGTGCTGCTGACAACACTTTAACGACTGCATTAATCCTACTTGGTGTCATTCTTGTAGGTAGCCTTCTTAAACCCGGTGGATAGTCTCTTTCAATTTTTCGGATCTTCTCATTCACCTTCCTTATCTTCTTATTTTCATTTTTTTCATCCCCTCTAACACAACTTGTTCATGTTTACCTTTACATTCTCTTTTTCCTTCTCGTTCCGCCTTTTCCCCTTCTAACAAAACAGGCACCTTCTCAAGTTTTCTCTTCGACATATGTAACCTTTCTTCTATTAAAACATTTAAGGGACGAGGTTTTTTCTTCTCTGGGGTTGATCTTGATGACTGCTGACGTTTCTTCTTTTTCACACTTGTACTTGGAATTACTATTGTTTCTGCAAACACTGCATGACAAACAACATATTCAAATCATTACATTAACATTATAAAAAAGTAATCACTTGCTATTCTACTAATATTCTTAATTAAAATATAAAAAAGTAATCACTTGCTAAAAACTAATTAAACCAAAAACATTCTACAACATTAACCTTTACTAGAAAAATAGTTCAACAAAACACATTAATACAAACACTACATAAAATTTCATTAATAAACAATACTCAATTCTACAGGAATTTAATAAAGAAACAAGTTCCTATACACACGTTTTTCTAAATTTAATAATGAATTCTGGCAGAATGAAATGTAATGATTTGAGTAGTTCACCAAACCAGATGAACACAAACTCTACAACTTTAACCTTCATCTAAAAAATAATTTACCAAAACACATGAATACAAACACTACAAAAAAAATTCATTAACAAACAATACAAATTAATAAATAGGAATTTAATAATGAAACAAGTTCCTATAAACAAGTGTTCTGAATTAAATATCATCTTTGAAGAACAAACATACAAATTCTACAAGAAAAAGTTTACATCTATAAGATATGAAACATATATCATGATTATAAACATAAAAAATCACTTTCAATTATTGATACTAACATTATGAAGGAGTGTATCATACCATTGAAACTATAATACTATTAGAACTTCATACCACCACAAAACCCACATAAAATCTAACAGAGTAACAAACATTCCATTCGAATCTCACCAAATACAATCGAATCTTACTGAATCCATAAGAACAATATCCCAATAGATGTTTCATATACCAGAATAACAAATTTACCAACACACATGACATCAAATGGAACCCTATCGATTTAAAGCAGTTTTTGCCGTGTTCGTGTAAACTACACACAAGACTACAATATTATTATAACTTCTTACCACCACAAAACCCACATTAAATCTAACAGAGTATACTACATTCCATTCGAATCTCACTGAATCTATTCGAATCTAACTGAATACATAAGAACAATATTCCAATATATGTTTCATACACCAGAAAAACAATTTTAACAACACAAATGACATCAAAATGAACCCTATCGATTTAACACTAATATCCCTATGACAAAACCCTCAAGTATTCGTAAACAATTTTTTTTTAAAATTCTCATCCTTTTTTCAAAAAGCTTAATACCTGGAGTTCTGGAAACGAAATCGTCATCATCGTCTAGAATTAAAGCATTTTTTGCCGTGTTCGTGAACTTAGACTTGAATGAAGTCGACCTTGTTGCTCTCATTCTTCTAGAAACTGTATCACAAACAAACCCTATCGATCGTTTTCGAAAAAACAAGTTTCATATAAAAAAGGATTAACAAATGTAATACCTTTTACGAAATTGGTTCTTCTTTCTTGAATATAATCAAACGTAAGAAACTTTGAGCTATGATAAAGACGAAGGTTGCTTCTGCTTCCGTTAATTTGGGGATTCTCAAAATCTGTTACAAAATAATCTATATATTTGCTAATTAGATGGAATGGTATCCGTTCTTTATTTAATAAATTGTTTAAAATTAATATCTTTTTTTTAAGTAAAAACAATTACTTTAATATAAGAAAAACACTTGGCACACAAACTATCCTTACATCCACATTATAACCTAAGCCTATATATATATATATATATATATATATATATATATATATATATATATATATATATAATATATATATATATATATATATATATATATATATATATATGTGTGTTATTATCCATTTCAGCTTTTAATCTTTAATGTATTATCATGGTTTTCTTTTCAATACCAAATCAAGCGTTCGGCTCTTGGTTCTTCACTTCTTCTCTACATCACGGTTGATCATCAGATCAATTATATGTTCAATCATAACAATCACAATGTTGAAGCATATATCTTTAACCTTGAATTTCCATGTTATGTAAAGGAGCACGAGTACAGTTGTTATTCTATTTTGTCTCTTTTTATAAGCATACTTGCTTATTTATACTAATTAAACATATAAAGGTTATAGCAAACAGGCACAATTAATAAGGGTATATAATCAAATGAATCAAATTTGGTCTTGATAGTCTTGACTGTTGTAAGGGCTAAAGGCTTCAGCCAACCAGCTCTTCTTCCTCCAAGAATTCCATCCCATTTCTTCACATATTTCATCATTGTGATTGATGCTGAAAGTGGAAATGCAAGTCCTCTTGTAAAATCTGGTAGTGTTCTTCATTATTTCCATCTCCGTGGTTATCTGTTCGAGCATTTTCTCCATGCTAGGTAGCTTAAACTTACCACCCACCAATCGAGCTAACCATTTGCAACGTATCTCTGAGGTCTGGAGGTTTGAAACACTTTCCACATAACCCATGAAACCCATGTTTGGAATGAACGGATGAATCGTACCCCTATTAATTTGCATCAAGGCACAAGATATTAGTTTATTTCATATATATTTCTGAAACCGGGTGGAAAAAAACAAAAAATAAAAATAAAAATAAAGGAATGCTCAAGCTTGCCTGTATAAGGGCATCATGCCAGAAGGAAATTCCAAGAAACTACGGAAGGGTTCAGGCAATACATCTCTAAGCTTCTTTTTGCCATCATAACCGGTGGCAAGAAGCACAACATCCGCCTCTAGCTTGGTGTTGTCCTCAAACTCAATACCACCTTCCCAAAACCACCAGTTTGATGCTCTTTTGAAATTTATTTTACCCTTATCAGCCTCATGAAAGAAGCTCTCAGGCAAGATGGCCATCTGACATGATGCATAATCTTCCTCAAAAGGGTGATCTGGTTTCAGTCCATACTTGACAAGTGGAAGCTTCCACAGCAGATAAGATTCGATGATCTTGGATGCTGCTTTTCTCTATCAAACACATACAAAAGTCATATATATTAGTGAGATTTATCTATACACATAGTGGGGAATATTATAATTAGATATGAATCGTTACCGCAGGGGATAAAAGCATGCAGAGCAGTGTCTTGAGAGTGCCTTGATTTGGTCTTGCATGGAGGAACTGAGAAAATCTGGTTGAATAGAACAAGTAAAATGGCAAACCCCAGATGGAGTAGTGTGGAACTATCCAATGAGAAGTCCTAACCACCATGGTGCAAGCTTTCCCTTCTTCCCCTTCATTATACACCCCAAATAATATTAACATATATAGTTGAAATAATATTATGTTGTTCTAAAGTGGTGCATATAAAAATTAAATGTTAATGAAGGCCAAAACGTCAAATCAGGACACTTTAAGGAGTTCAATTGTGAACTGAAATAGGAAAACAAAACACTACAGAAGTATACAAAAAGACAATAACATATTGGTGTGCATGCGTTGAAGAATGAGACAGCTGCTTCGTGGTTGTGGTCCTTGTGGACATTTAAAATATATTACACTCCTTAGAGCAAATGTTTTTAAAGTTATTTATTATTAAAATTATCTTTTAATCAAAAACTTAATATTATTATTAGAGGAAAAGAAATTTTGCATTTTAAGACAAAAAAAAAAAAACTTTACTTATGTTTCAATTATGAATTAGTTATTTTGTTTGATTGTTCTTTACACTTCACCACCGCTTCTCAATAACATTCAAATTTAGTTCCTTATAGATCTTTATAGTTTTTCAACTAATTAAGCAATCTGTTTAATTATAAATGCAAACTAAAAATGAATATATTATACCTTGGTTAGCTTCGGCACATTCCATAGCAAGATCAATGCCTGATTTCTTGTAGCCGACGACCACCACCTTCTTTCCTTTGAGAAGCTGGGAAGACTCCTCTGGGTTGAGTTTGCTGTATTCTTGAGAATGCATCACCTTCCCTTTAAACACTTCTGGGCCTTTGTTCATCCCATACTTTGGTATTATCGGTACATCTCCATATTTCCCCATACACATCACGATAAACTCAAAACCATACCACTGCATGCATATACATATTCAGACATATATATAATTAAGCTGTATCCAAGAATTCATGCATGAAACTTAATATATAATTACTATATTTTTAAGTTGAGGATTTAAGTTGTTTTAAATTCAAAAGAGATAGCAGTACTGAGGGAGATATAAACCTGAATAGCAGTGGAGCCACTTGTCTGGACAGCAACCTCCCAAATGGGTTTTCCAGACGACAGCAAAGTTGAGGGGTTGGTCAGGGAATCTGACATCGGGTCCTTGGGCTTGGCTAACCTGATTTCGACCACCTTTGAGTTGAAGTTGATGAATTTGAACAAGTCAAAGTGTTTGGCATAAGAATTGAGATAATCCAGTATCTCGCTATGAGTCGGGAAGCTGGTGTTATCCCTAAGTGGCCATGGGTAATCAGAAAACTCATAGTCGCAACGAGGGGTCTGAAGCTTGGTGGTTCTAAAGGAGCAGTGCTTCCAAACACCTCCAATGGAGTCTGTGGCCTCAAACACAATCGGATTGTGTTCGGAGAGCTGTTTGGCTGCAGCTAAGCCGCTTATGCCACCTCCGATGATGCCTATCTTGGAGAAGATAAGTGCCATAATTAGTTAACTATTGCGAGGTATATATGTATATATGGATTTTGCTTAATGTCAAGTGTGTTTTGAGTCGATTGTAAGAATGATGGTGCATATGGAGATGGATGGACGTTATGCTATTTATAGGGGATTGCATGAGGTACAAGAAGATGTGGTTTCACCATATATGCATGCATCTTCTTTGACTTTTTACAATATCCAGGAAAAACTGTGTTCATACTTGGGTTAGTCTAAGTTTTCAAAATTTATGCCACATGCATGCTTTTTGTTGATATATATGCTTCCAGAAAAAGACTAAAGTTATTACGAAAATATTTGATTATTTAATTAATTAACATCAAAATCCAATTAAGTTCTTAGATTATATACACTCACTTACAATTAATATACTCTACAATGTATATAAGCTTAGGTACTTAAACTTATACTATGACGTTTTTGTATCATATATACATTGTAATCGTTCAAAATTCTTAAAATTAAACTCCTAACTTATTTACTTCCAAGATTTTTAGAAAATTCATCATTATCTTCATCTTGCATAATTTTCATTTTCAACTATAATATATACAGTATGATAGGTGTTCGCCAAAAAAATGTGATGTAAGAGGAAAATAATAGTGAAATTTCGAAAATCTTAGAAGTAAATCATGTTAGGGGTTGAAGTTTAAGAACTTTGGACAACTACATTGCGTATATGATACAAAACGACGTAGTATGGTGGGAGTATCTAAGTTTATATATATATATATATATATATATATATATATATATATATATATATATATATATATATATATTTGGTAAGAAGAAAATATTTGGTAAGAAGGTAAGAATTTTTTTATACATATTTTTTTAGCAAACAAACAAAATAAATCATTAGATGATTCACAAAAAAAATCCCAAAAAACAACTTTATGATTCATTTTTAAGTAAATAAAAAAAATCACTTTTCTGACAATTTTAGTGAATATCAACAAAATCATCATAAAAATAAATCATCGAGATGTTTTTTCGGATTTTTTTTGTGAATCATGTTATTTTTTATTCATCTAGTGATTCATTTATTTTGTTCACCAAAAAAATATACCAAAAAAACATATTACTTTACTACCAAAAACATTTATTACCGGATATATATATATATAATATATATATATATATATAGATATATATATATATATATATATATATATATATATATATATATATATATATATATATAGGGAAGGGTTATTTGGAAAATAAAAAAACCTTAAAAAAACCCTAAAAATCATAAAAATGCATAAAAAAATACCAAGACATCACAAAACTTTTTTTTAATTTTTTATCAAAAAATCGCAGCATTTTTTACAATTTCGCTGAAAAAAAAATAAAAAATCAATTTTTTTTTTTTTTTGTAAAAAAAAAATTTCAAAATTTTTTTTCAGCGATTTTTACCTAAAAGTTGCGATTTTTTGATAAAAAAATTCAAAAAAAAGTTTTGTGATCTCTAAGTATTTTTTTATGCATTTTAATGATTTTTAGGGTTTTTTTAGGGTTTTTTGTTTTCCATAGAACCTAAACCATATTTTATATATATATATATATATATATATATATATATATATATATATATATATATATATATATATATATATAACTTAAAACTGTTACATGTATGTAATTTCTATAGTGTAAAAACTGAATTATCTACATTAGTCAATGAAATTTCACTATTTACTTCTTGTTAAACAAGGAAATTAATTTGAATTCATCAAAGCTTTATTTGCTATAAATTTAATTTATTAGAGTTGAAATACTTATAGCGTCTTCACTGCATCTTCAATTCCATTTCATGTAAATTAAGGAGACATTAAACAATGTATAATATATCTCATATATGATATATGCCAATATGCATTAACAGTGGCATATATGGTAATTAGTTGGAAAGAGTAAACCGGCATTGACGATATAGAAACAGCAGTGTGTGTACGCGTAACACCATTAATTTAATTATTATGTAGTAATGTACCCCACACATATCACAGCTAATTAGCCAAATCTTTTTAAGTTTAATTAAATATGTACCAACTCTTTTGCTTTTGTTATTAATTAAAACTGAAATAAATGTGTTTACTTACTTATATTAATGGTTGTGTATACCATTTCTAACCTGGGTAGTTGATTACTTATAAAGTTTCATGTCCCATAAAGAATAATCTGTGACATATTGCCAAAACTGCCGTCTGTAGCTGGAATAAAATTTTGTTTTGATTATTGTAGTACTCAGAGTTTCAACCACCATCCTAGAAATTCATTAATTTGCGAATTTTTCCCTTAAAGATATTAACCCATTAACAGGGAATGTTTCTTTTTCTTGGTGTTTTGGTTATATGATCGATGTATATACATTAAGAATACGTGAAGTTAGGCGGAGTGTATCTTCTTGGAATTTGTTAATCAGTATATATTCCATTTAAAGTTAATAGAAGTTATTAATTTGGAAAGAGTCAAACATTTTATTGGTGATGAAAAGCAGAGGAAAGATCGAGGAAGTTAAGTAATGATGCTTGACTAGTGTAGAAAGAAGAGATGATTAAAGAAGAGAAGAGTAAACCTCTTCCATCGTGTTCCATTCCACAAATGCATGTTTGATATGTCATGTGACTTCTTTTCTCCCTTCCACATTCCATGGAATTCCCCTAATAGATGACAATGATTATTCTCATTTCTCATTTGTCATTTCTCAATTCATCATTTTATTTGTTTATTATTTATCAACCTATCGAGACACTAATCGTATATCATAAATTAAGAACTATATAGAAAGCATGTCAAATACTCTGTATAAATTGGAAATATTATCTCAATGATTCAATAGGCATGATATGTAATTGTATGGAATAAAAACATATACAAATCAATGATTCAAAGTGAAAGGATATGAGATTTCGTCAAGGTGGTGTGTAAACAATGATTATTAAATAAGAGAGTTTCTTGGTAAGACCTTGATCGATATCATTTTTTAATTATTTAAGTCAAAGCTATTATTTAATTGTTAAATAATAACTAACCCTTCATCATAATATCTTAATCAAGAAATTAGTAAACTAAACACGATATTACGGTTACAATGCATAAGGGGTTTGGAAAGAAATACAAGCGACCTTTTAGACCTTCATCTTCCAAAGTCGTAATCATTCACACTTCCTAGCAAGTACCTTACCAACCACATCTTGTTTTTTTCTTGATACCAATGCATCATATACTTCCAATATTATATATTCGGGTATCAAAACCATAAATTTCTACTTTAATTGTATATATATATATTTCTTCATTATCGTGGGTTGTGTCTCTCCTTATATGTAAGTATAAGTATATGATAAGGCGCTATTATTTGCATCTTCTAAAGTGAATTAAATCAAATGGATTTCATTATATCACTTTTTTCAATTGTTTATATCTAATTTTATTTATTATACCGTTTATTTTTAGAGCATCTAAGATCATGGACTTTATTCATAGCATTTTTTGATTTGTCACATCAACTCTATCAAACAAAAACTTATTAACTCATGTATACCCATTTAAATGTTAATGTATTGTAAACAAACATCAACTTTTTAAATGAAATATTAACCGACGAGAACATTTAATTAAAATAATATATTATAATATGGAAATTTTGACAATTAAATTAAAAAGAAAAAATATATTACAACACGAAAGCCAAAACAAAAAATATAAACTTTTTTTGTTTATTTTTCGAAAATACAAAAGATGATAAATTTTTATGTATATAATTATAAAAAATACCAAAAGTATTATATTATAATTTATAATTTAAATTAAAGTAAAACATAATATGTTATTTAATGATTGTTAAAAGAAATCAATTTGTTAATAAATAACAATGTATTAAAGGTTAAGTATAATTAAAGAGTAAATAAAAATATCATTGATTAACGGTACTTGTAATAACACAAATGAAAAAAACCATTTAGTTTATATCAAATAGTTAAATTATCCAATAAAAAATGAATGGTCTACAATGGTAAATAACTATCTTCGAGTTTGATTTTAAATATTCGACCACTATAATGACCTTCCATTGAAAATATTGTTAGGGTATGAAGAGTGGTAAAAGGCATGCAACAATGACTTTCGATTTGGCACTTGGGGTCGTTCGAATTGCTACAGAAATAGATGAACTATTTCAACAGAAGAAGATTGAGAACAACTCAAATCTTATAATCACAAATCACTCTGCTTTATTCACTAAGGGCAAGGCCCTTTATATAGGCTCCAAAGAGCCGTTTACACACGGCATCTTTACATTATTGCAATCATATGATTGCAAGAAGACAAACTACTTTACATAAGACTTTATGTCACATATATAATAATGCTACACACTTATTAACCTTACCGACACTTTACATAATTATAAAAGACAAAATAGAATTATTATCGTCTATAATGCATCGTTATCTTCAAAGATGTCTTCTTCTTTAATAATTCTTTCTTTTGTCATGCCTTACGTCATTCCTCCCGCCTCCAAAAAGACATTGCTGAAGTTAATCTTCCATAAATGGTGTTTCTTCTGTGTTTTCTGAACAGTGACTGCAATTGTGTCTTGGAGCATGCATAATATGTTTGCAAAGTTGTTTCTTGATATCATCGGGTAATTCAGCCAGTTGATGAGAAAATTTTTCGAAAGGTTGTTCGAATGTTTCAATTGCTTTCATTGCTTCCGGAGTGATTTCATTGTCTGTTAAGGAGTAGATAATGAAAGTTTTACTAGCATAATTTACTCTGATTCTTGACCTTTGATCTTTACCGTTGCCAATGCGTGATGATGCTAAATAAACACCGGCAAGTGCAAAGATTAGATGTTCTTGTGTTGGGGATTCACGGGGTAGATCATCTTTTGTTGGTTTTGAGCCATTGCTTATTCCCATGTTTGCAAAAAAGTAATACTTGGGACAATTAGTTGAGAATCTTCATCAAAAATT